GTAGGTTGCATGTGATTTTCCTGCCTTGTCCCTTCCAATCACATTTCAAAAAAGGAAGCAGTGGTGGAGCCTTGTGGGCTAAAGTAGTGAGGAGGGTGTCATGGAAGATTCAGGTTTAGGTCTTCCTCTTGAAGAATGGGTGCTTCTCGATAGGGAAGCAAAGGAACAACCTGGGAGTTGTCCACTTGAAGAAAATCCTGAGATGTGATAATGGGTAGGTCCGAGGTCCTGAGTAGGACTCAGCACAGAGGCTTTGCATGTGCTGTTTTTCCTGCCAGGAAAGCTCCCTAAACCCCTTGGCCTTACCTACCCCCTCCCTAGTTAAACACCTGGCCTTTTAGATCTCCACCCTCAGTACTCCCTCAGGAAGCTTTTTCTAACTTCCTGACCCACTCAAGTGCTGCTTATATATCTCCTTTGTAAGCTCTTCTCAGTTACACTTTTACATTTATTTGCGAGAGATTATTCAATTAGCGTCAGTCAGTCCCACTCTTTAATTCTCCATGGATTTATCATGCATTACTTCATCCCCTAATTTACTGCAGTGCGTAGAACTGAGGAGGAGCTTTAAATACTCACGGAATAAACAAATTTTGGTTATTAGAGAGGTAATAGCCGAGGTGGGAAAGAAGATTTATATTTGGGTCACTAATCACATTAAGTGCCAAGCACTGCATTAACTTGCTGAATTCTAAAAACAATCCTATGAAATCAAGTGTATCATTCCTTTTAACTTTAAAGACAGAGAAGTTAACCATCTTTCCCTGTTGATACAACTAAGTGGCAACAGCAGGCCATGAGCCTGGCAGCTTGGCTTCAGACTTCCTAGACTTTACCACACTGTTCTTCTGCTTAGTGCAGTAGAGGATAAAGCGAGATGCACACGTGAAGTCAGGATAGATTTCCGTTTAGAAATTGTGCATTTTCCCCCTCCTCTTCTTCTCATCATGATCATCATCATCATCATTTCACAAGAAAAGCTAAGCAGAAAAGGACTACTTCATGTGTCACCTCTTACATTCATGCTAACTCTGCATTCTGCCAAAGTGATTTGGCCGAATTTACCCAAAGAGCAAAGTGAACATTTCAAATCCTGATTCCTAGAAAATTCTAGACTACTATTGTAACCACGTTTGAAGCAGCAGCACATACTTTGCCCCAACATGACAGAATTGTTTTAAATAGAGAGAATTTGACTAAGATTGGTATTATCTGAGACCCCTGGTTTCTACATCATATTCAAAAAGCAGATCCAGCCTGTGGTCAGCAGTAGGTATTGTGTCATAAAGCTTTGGAAGAAAGTCTTAAATTTCATAAGAATGCCAAGTCCTTGGTATCTCCAAGAATGACAGCCGTTACTATAATAGCATAATTATTACTGGAAAATTAACAAAGTCCAATAAAATATGGCATGCAAAAAAGATTTACCCTAGAAATAGAAGTGACCTAAATCAGTCGTTTATTCCAGTCACCTGTTTTAGATAGAACTTTTAAAAAAATCATCTCAGGACAGTCATATTGTTTAAAGATCTCTACGTGGAAAAGTACCTTACAGTAATAAATTAATAAACAAGACAAGTTAATGCTTTTAAACTACTGTTATTTGCTGGGCATTGTTGTAAAGGTTTTACATGTGTTAATGTATTTAGGCCTCACAACAACCCTTTGAAATACTATTATTATCCCCTTTTTACAGATGAGGAAACTGAGCAGTACCCAAAGTCATACAACCAGTAAATGGGGAACTATCTGCAAGCCCAGCTAGTATGCCCCTAATGTCCATGGTCTTACAGTGTCCCTGGGTGGTTGATTACTCAGTTTTGCTGCTTTTGTCTCCTTGGCTTTAATTGAAAACTTTTTTTTTTTTTTGGCTGAAGTCTCCCTCTGTCACCCAGGCTGGAAGTTCAGTGGCTCAATCTTGGCTCACTGCAACCTCTACCTCCTAGGCTCAAGTGATTCTCCTGCCTCAGCCTCTTGAGTAGTTGAGATTGCAGGTGCCTACCACCATGCCTGGCTAATTTTTTGTATTTTTAATAGAGACAGGGTTTCACCATGTTGGCCAGGCTGGTCTCAAACTCCTGATCTCAGGTGATCCACCCAGCTCGACCTCCCAAAGTGCTGTGATTACAGGTGTGAGCCACCATACCTGACCCAAAAGCTTAACTCTTAATGTTGCGTAAGAGCCTGCAATATTCAGACTCATTGAAAAAACCTAAAAGACATAGTTGCTCTCTATAAAATTAATTTTCAAAGGAACCACTATTCCAAGAACTAAAAGGGAGACTGAATCAAAATAACTAAATTCTCCTTAGAACAAATGAATTTCTGAATTGTTTGCAAACAGTTCCCCATCATCATGGCATCCTATGAAGCATGGTCTCCCCCATGTTAGAGTGCCAGTGTCTTCATGTGCCATATAACTTGCAAATAGTATCACTGTTTTCTCTTCTCACATTTCAGTTTTCTTCTTTCAGTCAGTGTTTTGGAAAGTCCACAAAACCCAGGGGGCTCCCTGTCCGTTGCCCTGTGGTCTGTGTGAAAACCAAATGATGCTATGCTAACTTGGAGTCTTTCAAATGGATCCAACAGCACATGAGTCACTGGCAGCATGTTCAGCTCCTTTACCTCAGGGACTACCCAGTTCCTCATTCTTGCTACCCTTCAGTCATGAAGTAGTAGTATGAAAAATACATGCGTACTTTTTGAGGATGCCTCATACCTCTTTCCTTCAGTATCAGAGACTAATTCCCTCATAATGCTAACATCAAAGGGGCCAATTATCTGACGTGATTGGGCTTTAATTATGGATTCCTTCTGGTGTCCTGTTTAAGTGGAAAGCCTACCTGATTTCACCCAAATGAAACATTACCTCATGCCTTGCTGTCTTGCATTCCTGTGCTAGTGTCACTTAAAAGTGTAATTACATGGTTTATTTCATGTTCCTTTACTCTTCGTTTATTGCTGAAGACATCCAGCAGTGGGATATGTCATCATAACAGAAACTGATTTCAGATGTCAACACCAAAAAACACAACTGGCATCAATAATCTACAGGCAGCATCTAGGGACAGCAGTCAGCCGTGGAGCAAACCCAGAACTTCCCATTCCCTGTCCCTCATTGAAGGGCAAAGGCTTTCTCCTTGTTAAAAGGAAAGTACTGAGTTCATAATTAGCTCTATACCCAGAGTTTTTTAAAGTGTTATACCTATTTAAGAAATTATTTATTTGTGCTTCGAGGTGGTCAAAATAAAATTTAATTAGAAACCTTCTTTGTAATTGGCTTGATCTGGGGGCCCTGCTCTTTGAAAAGGAGGTTAGAAAGTTTAGAAGCAAACCTTTGTAGCAGTTCTAGCCAAGGTACATGCATAGAGGGCTTGAGGTGGAGCTACACAGGTGATTGTAGGAAAGTCTATCCTCTGATGAGGAGTGAAACTTCTCTCCCAGCACACCCTCTGGGGAATAATGCCAACTCTGATCAGCTTTTCAACTCCTGGATGAAATACTAGATTGGGAAAAAGTCCCTACTAAGAAAATCCTACCCAAACCCTGCTTCAATAAAATATGAATCCACTTGATGAAGTTGATAGTAGAAGTAGGCTGGTTGAAGTATTATTGGTACGTTTAGGTTCTTCTTCAAGTTTATATCATTGGGACTTCCATCAAAGAGTCATCTTTAGGTGTGATTCCCATCCTTCCTCCTTCCCTCCCTCCTTTCCTCCTTCCCTTCCTCCCTTCTTTCCTTCATTTTCTTCATTTTCTTCCTTTTTCTTCTTTCTTTCAAGCTGTGGGCTGCTTGTACAGATTATACATTTCAAATTATTGCATAGTTGAGAGATTTGGGGCTTAGGTTATGCAGTTCTCCAAAATTTGCTGTATGAGCTAAGGAGATAGGGTGACTAACTAATCTAGGTTTTGGCTCCAAAAGTCTAGTGTCCCAGAAAACCCTTCGGTCCTAGGCAAACCAGGATGGTAGTTCATCTTTTGAGGACATTATAGTGCATTTCTAAGTATTTAGCTGAATTTATCCCAGGACTCTGACTTGGGTTAAAAAAAAAAAAAAAAAAAAGGTCTTTCCTGTTATGTTAGTATGATTTTAGTCTTGACAGTTTCTCAAGGAAGGAATCTGGTCTACTGTAGGGGGCTAGATGACTAAGAAGAAGAAAGGATATCTAAGTGTTTTTTGCTTAAGATGTCATTATCTCCTTTTTATTGGAGATAAAAATGCTATTTCCTTTTTATTGCTGCTGTCATCATTTTAAAGACATACCAATAAAAAAATAAATTAAATAGAAAACTCTAATTTTATTAAACAACAGCAAAACAGGATAAAATCTAAGGATTTGTACTTAAGGAGTGCACTTTTTGAATTGAAGAAACTGACTATGACCTGAGCGTATGTAACTCAATTATCAGAACTCAGAGAGGGCTACTGAAGGCCCAGGTATCCTAAGAGACAACTGGAGGCCAAGTCTTCAGGCTTGGGTGTTTATAGCCAAATTTCAGAGCCAGGTCCCTGGGCAAGACTCTGTCTAACCACTTGGCACAGAGTTAGGATACACTGTTTCTGCTTACCTCCCTTCTTCCCTTGATCTCTGTCAACCACCAGTTTCCTTCTTATCAGTCATTTGCTCAGTTTTTGTGACCCAAGAACTGTGATGAGGATGCAGAGGAAAGCACGTTCTTGGTTAATAGGAAAGTAGACTTCATAACAACACAGCATCCTCTAAGATGTGTTGCTCCAACTTTCACAATGCGTACTGTATTTTCAGTGGCCTGCTTCTTGGAGTGTATCTTCCTACCGCACAAAACCACCACCATTAGCATTTCCATTTATTTCCACCCTGTCATTTGTTCATCACATACTTTTAAAAACAGGGTTGTAATCATGTATATGAATAATTTTATATTGTATTTTTTATACTTACTGGCTTATCATAAACATTTTTCCATGTTGCTGGAGAGTCAGATGTGCTAACTTTTAAATTGTGCTTCTTATATAGATCTGCAACTATGTGGGACCCGCAAAAGTTATTGTTCAGTTGGTCACAAATGGAAAAAATATCCACCTGCATGCCCACAGCCTGGTGGGAAAACACTGTGAGGATGGAATCTGCACTGTAACTGCTGGACCCAAGGACATGGTGGTCGGGTAAGTGGGAGCATATGATGCTGTGGAAGGTAGGAACAGATAAAATATGGGACACGGGAATTTGGAATGAACAGGCGCCTTTCATTAGGGACCTTTCTGAGACCCTCAGATGGCCTCAAAAAACTGTAAATTGTACTCTGATTTGAACTCCAAAAAGTAAGGTGACCACATGTCTGGATTTGCCTGAGACAGCCCAGTTTGCACCTGGCCTACTTGTTTATAGTACCCTCTTCTACTCAAAGGTAGCCCAATTTGGATGACCACTTATATGTGGTTATTTGACCTACAAGGTATTTTTGCCACTTTTTATATTTCCTTCTCGTAGAAATAAAGATAAGGGCAAATTTAAAGAAACCTAACTATAGCAGAAATCATTACTTTATGGATGGTTTTACATTCTTGATGATTTCTTTAGTGGATTTATAGTGTGAATATTTGGGGCTTGAAGTGAATGAATAAATATCATTTCAGCTTGTGCTGCTTAGAAAGTATGCACAGATAAGAAGCCAAGCAATGCAAATTTATCTTGGCATTTGTTAGGCTTGAAATGTAAGTAAAATATGACATTCATTTAATGATTGGTCAGATAAAACAAGCAATATTTAATGAATGAAGTTTTATAGAAGTAATTTCAATCCAAAAGAATTAAGTTTTTAAATAAGACATATTTATTGTGCTAAAAATATTTTCATCTTCCTAATACACTAAAATAGCACACAGAATAGTAGTATAGCACACAACATAAACTGATACGTATAGTCAGTAATTCTAAAAATTGTTTTAAGTCTTTCTTTGGGACTCTTTAAATGCAAAAGAAGAAATTTTTAATTAATTTTAATTTTTAAAAACATTTTTCAGGGTTTTCTAATCCTGCTTTAAATAGTTTATGCTAAAATCCCAGTTAATCTGGATTATTCACTCAAAGGAATTGTTTAAATCAAATATAATTAAGCTGATGATTGCATTTCAGGCTTTGAATTCCGATCAAGTTTCAAGTTGGTTGTTATTTTGGAGGTTGTGCTTTCGTGTTCCTAGGTATTTCTTCGTTTGACTGTGAACATACTTAAGTGTGAAAAACCTAGAGAGAGAGCTTTAAGTCACTAAAATCAGATTCTTTGCTGTTAGGAAAAATAGACTCTAGGTTGAAGGAAAAAGCTTAAATTGATTTGAAAAATACAAGTGTGCTTTATATAAACTTGTTTTAACATCCTCTTGAAAGACTGGCATGTTTCCTGTTGTATGTCACAGTTTGTTCATCATGTGTAGAATACCCTTCCAGTTCCTGACTGACCTAGGAGAGCTTTGAAATGCAGGATAATTGTCCCAGTTTTAGACTAATTGATCACTTAGTGTTTCTGCAGATTTATTCCAGTGGGTTTCTGTCATTGAAGTGTTTATTTTCTTAGGTCTTGTTTAATCTGTATTATAATCATATCCTTTAGGGGAAATTTTAGATAAAGTCTTTTACTAATGTTTACTATTATAAAACCTTCAGTATGTTGTCTGTAATTTGGTGTTTCTATGGTTTGGTTTAGTAATCTTTCAAGATGTTAGAATGAACTAATTGTTATTTAATTTGAGGCCTTAGAGCGTGAATAGAGGTAAATTGTCTCTAAGGAAAATGAGGGATTCTTTCACTCCTGTAGTGCAATGGGATGTGGGCTCAGTAGTTGGGAGAACTCATCATTCATTCAGTCATTCATTCTTTCATTCAACAAACATTTTGAGCATCTCAACTCCAGAGTGTGATCATTATGATGTCTGGTTGTAGTAGTGCAGTGAGATTTTCTAACCCTATACAATTTCAGTGAGAAATTTGATCAAGATGCCACTTGAAAGTCACAATAGACTCAGTAGACTTTTGTGTTTAGTGTTTTCTATGAAAGTCGGTACTCACTTTCTAATCTGATTTTTAGCTGAGAAATTTTTGCTTACAATGTTTCCCAAAATACACTATTTCCTTCATAATTCATTTGTTTCTATCTTTCTCTATATAAACATTTTTAAGGTTTTCAGTGTCAAAACTTACTGCATTTATGTAGAAAGAACGTCATGCTAGCATTCTGGAAACCAGATTTTTTTTTCCATTACTGTCACTCTCAACAGAGGACTGAGGGCAAGTTACATGACTTCTTGGGGACCTTAATGTCTTCCCTCACAAAATGCGATCGTTTCACTACAGAATCTTATCTTTAGGCCCTTTACATCTCCAGAATTCTAGACCAAACTAACATTACGTAATGTTATGAAATAACTTGAGCAAACTTGCCAGTTACATATTTATGGTATGACATTGATTATTAGTATTTAGTTCTGTCTTGTAGATAAGAATATCACATAGAGAAACTTAGGAAGATAGCCAAAACTATGACTTGTCAATACTAGAAATGAAGCTAAGATAACCTGTTTCCAATAATACAGATTAGGCAAAGCATATAGATTCACAAGCAGGGCACTAGTCCAACACACCATAAAACACATCTAAAAAATGGCAATGAGAAGATAACTTTTAAATTGTCAAAACCAAAAGAATTACTTTCTTTGGACTGTTTATCTTCACCTTTCTCTCAGTATGAATTCTTAATAAATACTATTTTCAAAAGTATTTCAGCTATATTATAAATATTCATATTTTAAATAACCAAGTCTTAACTATAGGTTTGATTGCTGTAGAGGATTTGTCATTTTAATGTTTTTTTTAAATTTGCTTTAATTTTTTTCTTTGTATTTCTTATTCACTTATATAGTCAGACTTTACTGCCTTTCTTGGTTAAAAAAATTATAATAATCTTAGTTTGGCGTTTTATTTTAAATCCAGAATATCAACAATTTGTTTCAACCTATTTTAGTTCTTCGATATTTTTATTCCATCAAAAATATCTGTGTTCCTTGATTTTGCATTAGGCCAAATTCCCTCACCGGTAATCACCACACCCTCTCTGCTTTCTGGGAGCTCTGATTTAGAGATGTGGAATTTTTTTTTCCAATTAATATATATAGCATATACCAACTGGTAAGCACTAGAAGTAGGTATGTAAATATAAAAATACAGAGGAGAAAGAAGACCTTCTTCATTGTCTGTTGTTCCCCTCTTCATGTCCGTGAGTTCTCATCATTTAGCTGCCACTTACAAGTGAAAACATGCGATATTTTTCTGTTCCTTCATTAGTTTGCTAAGGACAGTGGCCTCCAGCTCCATCTGTGTTCCCGCAAAAGACATGATCTTGTTCTTTTTTATGGCTGCATAGTATTCCATGGTGTATACGTACCACATTTTCTTTATTATGTTGTTGATGGGGAATTTAGGTTGATTCCATGTCTTTGCTATCATGGATAGTATTGCAGTGAGTGTTCGCATGCATGTGTCTTTATGGTAGACTGACTTATATTCCTTTGAGTATATACCCAACAGTGGAATTACTGGGTCAAATGGTAGTTCTGTTTTTAGCTCTTTGAAAAATCACCACACTGATTTCCACAATGGTTGAACAATTTGCGCTCCCACCAGCAGTGTATGTGCATACCTTTTTCTCTACAACCTTGGCAGCATCTGTTATCTTCTGACTTTTTGATAAGAGCCATTCTGACAGGTGTAAGATGGTATCTCATTGTGGTTTTAATTTGCATTTCTCTAGTGATCACTGATACTGAGGTTTTTCCATATGTTTGTTGGTGGCATGTGTGTCTTCTTTTGAAAAGTGTCTTTTAAACAGTCAATTACCTTTTAAAGAAGATTATTATTTTTAAATCAGGAAAAAGTAGTTTATATTTAACCACATATTTATCATTTGCAGTGCTCTTCATTCTGTTTCATAGGTCAAGATTTCTATCTGATAGCATTTTCTTCTGCGTGAGGCACTTCCTTTTACTACACTGCTGATCTGATGCTGATGAATTCTTTCAGTAGGTGTATGTCTTCACAGTTTTTTTTTAGTCTTATCTATCTTATCTTTGTTTTTCAAAGATATCTTGAAGAGTATAGAATTCTAGGTTGACAGGCCAAGCATGGTGGTTCATGCTTGTAATCCCAGTACTTTGGGAGGCCAAGGCAGGTGAATCATTTGAGGTCAGAAGTTCAAGACCAGTCTGACCAACATGAAGAAAACCTGTCTGTACTAAAAATAAAAAATTAGCCAGGAGTGGTGGCATGTGCCAGTAATCCCAGCTACTTGGGAGGTTGAGGCAGGAGAATCGCTTGAACCTGGGAGGTGGAGATGGAGGTTGTGGTGAGCCAAGATCACACCACTGCACTCCAGCCTGAGCAATGAGAGAAACTCCCTATCAGAAAAAAAAAAAAAAAAGGAGTTCTAAGTTGACAATATTATTCTTTCACATCCTTAAACTATGTTGTTCCACTGTCTTCTGACTTGCCATGTTTCCAAGAAGTCACCTGTCAATCTAATCTTTGTTCCTCTGTACATAATTTTTTTTTCTCTAGCAGCTTTCAGATTTTCTCTTTCTCACTCCTTTTAAGCAATTTTATTATGATGGATATTAGTGTAGTTTCCTTCATGTTTCTTGTACTTGGGATTCATTGAGATCCTTGTATCTCTGGGTTTATATTTTTATTAAGTTTTAAAACTTTTTGGCCATTATTTTTTCAAATATGTTTTCTCTCCACTCTTCTTCATCTTCTTCTGGAACTCCAATTGCACATATATTTGGCTATTTAAAGTTGTCCCACAGCTCTCTGATTCTTTTTTTCATCTTTTTTCTCTGTGTTTCATTTTGAATAGTTTTATTACTGTGCCTGCAAGTTCACCAGTATTTTTGTCTGTAGTGTCTAATATGTTCTTAATTCCATCTAGTGTATTTTTTCTTCTTAGACATCGTAGTTTTCATTTCTACGGGTTTATGGCCTTTTTTTCATATCTGTCATGTTTCTCCTTAACATTCCAATGCTTCCTCATTTTTCTGATCATATCATCTTCCTGGTAGTTTATTGGATGACAGATATTTGAATTTTGTATTGTTGAGTCCTAGATTTCTCTTTTTTTTTTTCTTTTTTGGTATGCCTTTAAATATTTTTGAGGATTGAGATGAAGTTAAATTTGGGAACAGTTTGATCCTTTCTAGACTTACTTGTTAATTTGACATCATTACTAAGCCAGTACCTTTCTGAATTTTCAACTTGCTACTCTATGTATTACATGATTTCTGGAACTGTTCCAGCCCTGTGGTGTTATAATTCTTCTACCTGCTTCTCTATGGTGGTTCTTTTCCCAGCTTTGATGTACTTTCCCCACACACAGCATTCGGCTGAAGACTCCAGTGGGTCTCTGAGTGTATCTGTGTCCAGTTTCTTCCTCTCTGGTGCTCTGCTTGTGAGTTTTAGCCTCCTTAGATTCTTCCCATGTTTAACTGTGTCTCCTCAACCCTGGAGATTACCAGGCTCTGTTGGGGTTCCTCCTTCCTGTACTACAGCCTGGGACTCTCTAGGCATTAAATCAGAGTAATTACAAGATTCGCCTTATTTCTTTTTTTGTAAAGATTACTGTTCTCTGCTGCCTGTTTTCTAGTCTGAAAACCATTTCTTTTTGCATTTTAGATATTTATGGTTCAATCCAGTCTGTTTTACTCTATCAAAACCTGAAGCAGAAGACAGACTCCTATACTGTTTTGTTTGTTAACCAGCGTAAATCCTTCATTATTCACATAATAAATTAATAAGAATGATGTTTTTCTCACAGGGACTAAATTTGGCAATATACATGGAAAGCACATTATAGACAGTAAAGTGTAAGGTGTTACACAGATGTTCATCATTGCTATTACCTAGGAGATAACCCAATTTTCCTGCAGTTAGGGAAGTTCTATATGGGAGTAAGGTTGAAAGGGCCAAAAGATAGAAGTATTGTTTCTGAAAAACTGCCTATGCTTCTATGCATATATCATTTTGCATATTCTTCTGTGCTGTGTTGATTCATGCATTCAGTTATCAATAGATACTCATTAAACACCCTATGTCAGACATTGTTCTAGGCACTGGGGATCTCTGCCTTCAAAGAGCTTATATTCTAGTGGTATATTTTCTTTTCTTTTTTCATCCTCCTGGACACATGACTTACTCTGTCTCTGGGCATCTGGTATGAGTGCTCATTTCGTTCTGCCTTATAACTCCTATTTTCTTCTCTAGTTTGTCTGACCTTCCCCCGTTAGCTTGTTCTTGATTTCCTTCAGTCCAGTTGTCATGAAATCTTTCCTCTACCAATGTTTTTCTTTCTTTCTGAGTAAAAGCCAGATGAAAAAGTCCTTAGAAAAGCTTACTACAAGGCTTTAAAGGATCTGGCCCCCTGCTTACCTCTCTGAACTCTCACACTTCTGACAACTTGCTCATTTCACTCCAACTGCATTGACCTCCTTGCCTTTGTTGTGTTTTGAAAACACCAGTGTGGTCCTACCACAGGAATTTAGCACATGCTGTTCCTTTTGCCATGCTCTTCTTTCATATGTGCATGTCTCCATTGCTTCCCTCAATTTTTTCTCAGTTATCTTTTCACTGAGTGTCCTTCCTGACCTCTCCCTGTTTTAAAATGTTATGCTTTTTTCTACTACCTCTCCTGTTCCTCATTCCTACCTTATTTTTCTGGATAACACTTACTGCCTTCTAAATTGTGTAATAGAATTTACTTCTTTGTTTCTTCTCTGTTGTCATACTAGCATATAAATTCAGTGAAGGTAGAGCTTCTTTTATTGCTGACAAAAACATGTATGATAATTCCTGGCACACATAAGGATCTTCATAAATATTTGTTGAATGAATGAATGATCTCCTTGATAAAGTCCTTTTTTGTCTGTTATATTGTTTATTAAATACAATATAACAGTAGACTTGTTTCATGTACTTTAATTTCAAAAGCGAATGGAACATTTTATATGTTTTCTTATAAATCCCTTTAATTGCTTTTTAAGCTTATCAACATATTTTGTTTTATAGATATGTAGCCTTCATGAGATACAAGATTCTCCATCCCTGTTTACATATATCCTTAGATGACAACTCTAGTCGTCATAAATAATTTTAACCTTACAGATTACTTAGGAAAAGATGAGATTCCAGGTTGACTTTAAATCCCATTCAGAAATCGAAGGATGATTCAAAAGGAAAATAATCACTCCAAATATACTACTACTCTTATTCTTAAGAAATGTTGGGATTATATTTTGAATTTTGAAATTTTTTTAATACAACTCCCATAGAAAACACTTTAAAATGAACCCAGTAAGACTCCCTTATTAAGACATATAGACACATGCTCCCACTTCCTTAATCACAATTTGGAAGTCAAATAAGCTCTGAAAACCAAAATCTTCTTCCAAGTTTATCACAGACTCATTTGGTAGTAAAACTCAATTTAACCTGACATGTAGCCATTTATAGTCTTTATTTTTCCATTTGGTGAATCTAATTATATATTTTACTACAGAAATATTAACATGTTTGACTACATTGTGTGCCCCAGACCTGCTTGGAGTATTACGTAATATGCAGTATATGCCATATATTGCCTTTCTAACATCAGAAATACCTACATTCTGAAATACATCTAGCCCCAAGGGATTTGTATAAAACACTGAGGGCCTGTGTATTTTTAAAAAATTTACAAGTGAAGCCAGATTCTCTAGACATTAAGTGCCTAACTTTTGGTTGTTGTTGCTGCTGCTGTTACTGTTTTTCCTCCAGCTTCGCAAACTTGGGTATACTTCACGTGACAAAGAAAAAAGTATTTGAAACACTGGAAGCGCGAATGACAGAGGCGTGTATAAGGGGCTACAATCCTGGACTCTTGGTGCACCCTGACCTTGCGTATTTGCAAGCAGAAGGTGGAGGAGACCGGCAGCTGGGAGGTAAGCATCATTCTCCTGGCCTTGCTCCTCCAAGGGGTCCAGGCTTCGGTTTTCATCTGTATGAATTATATGTTCATCTGCATGCCTTCCAGTCTCTACCCCACACTGCTATCACCTTTTCCCTGCTTGGAAACCTTGATGGCATCCTGCTACTTCTAGGATAAAACCTACAGCCCGGCATACAAAGCCCCCCCACCACACACACACACACTCTGGCCCCAGCACCTTTCCAGCCGCATCTCCAGCCCACCTTGCATCCTCCTCTCTCTGTCACTGCCCTCTCAATAACTGAGGCATATTTATACCTTTGTATGTGTCTTCCTCTACCAAAAACATCCCACCATATCCACCTCACCCTCTCAGAAACCAATGCAGAAATCAAGACTTTGTCCAAAGAACACCTCCTCTGTTTTACCTTCCCCAACTCACCTTATGACAAGGCATTTTTCTTTCTCTGGGCTCTGCCTGCACACTATAAACTATTATCCTTATCATAAAAATGGCATGATTTTCCATTTTCTTTCCTTTTCTCACAATTTTTCTTTCAACCCTATTCCCTGTCCCACCACATGCCCCATTTCTACTTTTATATTCTTCCCTTTACTGTGTCCGTCCAGTCATCATCTCATACTCAGGTGATTCAAAACCGATTACCGTTTTTAACTAAATAATAGTCCATCTTCTGATACCCAAACTCAAAACCTCCCCATCCTCTGACTCCCCATCCTCTCAGGCTCCCCATCCTCTCTGGCTCCCCATCCTCTCTGGCTCCCCCATCCTCTCTGACTCCCCATCCTCTGACTACCCATCCTCTGGCTCCCCAGCCTCTGGCTCCCCATCCTCTGGCTCCCCGTCCTCTCTGACTCCCCAGCCTCTGGCTCCCCATCCTCTCTGACTCCCCATCCTGACTCCCCATCCTCTCTGACTCCCCATCCTCGCCTGTGTGCAGCATCTCCAGGCTGTGGCCCAGCCATTCTGTTCTCTCTGGCATTCCACGCTACACTCTATTTCCATTGTTCCACTTACAGTAGTCTTCTACCCTGCTCTCTATCCCTCCCCACTTGTAATCTAGTTTACACCTTGTAGCTGGATAGATATTACTTAAGTTCTGTATCTTGTCGCTGCTTGGTGTCTCCCTGTTGCCTACAAAATCTGAATTCTATAAGTTGGCTTTTTGGATCTCCCAAGAGCTGGCCCCAGGCTACATTTCCTACTTGGTTTCCCATTTTGCCCCTTTAGGTAAAACTGAACTACTTGATAGGAGCACCATGATGCCTGACTTCCCTGCCTTGGCACATTATTTTTATTTTTGCTCGCTCCTCTTCCTGGAATGTCTTTATCCACTCTCTTATATGATTTCAAATTCTGCCACCTTTTCAAGATTCAGAGCAAACGCCTCTTCTGCTCCAAAGCCCTCTGAACTCTCTCCTCCTTTGAAATCCAACATCACTTCATTTGTAGCTCTCTTGTAGTACTTGTCTCCTGAATCACTACCTTTTATTTACAGCTTAATTGTGACCATATCCATCAGCATGAAAACTCCAGCATGAGGGAAGGACCCAAAATGTCATTGAGTCATTCAGTCCCTTCAGAAGTTCTGAGTACCTACTATGTGCCAGGCTGTCTTCATGGCACTGTAGAATGAGCTCAATCCCTGTGCTCAAACAGCTTGTGGAATAATTCCACACTTCTCAATACAGCTAGTGCCTAGCAGGATTATTCAATTCTATTCCATCATATTCTGTGTACCTTTAACTCTTATTGGGGAGAAAAGGGAAAGGGGCGGGGAGGACAGGAGAGGAGGCAGGTGATCGGATACACAGAAGAGAGTTTTTACTGTAATCCAGAGAAAATGCAGGTCTTCTTTGATGCCTTTCCTAGTGGATGACATAAATGAGACTGTTTTTAACATCTTATTGCAACATGAAGTGTTTCAAAAAAGGGGAAAAAAAGGTTTTGATTTTAAGTTTACATTATTTGGGCTTTATAAAAGCATGGTCTTTAAAATGTTCACACTTCTCTGTATATGAATGGACTGTGCTGTATGACCCTAGATCGGGAAAAAGACCTAATCCGCCAGGCAGCTCTGCAGCAGACCAAGGAGATGGACCTTAGCGTGGTGCGGCTCATGTTTACAGCTTTTCTTCCGGATAGCACTGGCAGCTTCACAAGGCGCCTGGAACCCGTGATATCAGATGCCATCTATGACAGTAGTGAGTACTTCACTTCTAACAGGGGACACACCAAGAATAGACTTCCAGCCCTGACCTGCCATTTACTTGCTACCTGAGTCCTGGGGAAAGTAACTTAATCACTTGAAGCCTCAGAGTTATCATCTATAAAATGTGAATAGTAAAATCTAGCTTGAAAGGTTGATGTCCAGATTAAAAAAGATATTTTAAGAGGTGCTAAATATATGTAATTTTCCCTTTGATGTACATGTTTTAGTCTTTTACATGAAATGACACATCTCTTATTTATGAATGTCTTGCTCTAAAGATATATGGTTGATGCTTTTAGAAGGGAGAAAAATCCCAATTTTCTTTGGTGATGGGGGGGCTCTGGAAATAAGTTAATATTTAACACCATAATTATTCTTACCCAGTTTCTTCCCCATATGTTACTAACTTTACCAAGATAGAAACTTCAAGTTAAATGAATGAGTAAAATAGATAGCATATGCCTCAGACTTCTATTTTAAGCCAGGTTTGGCATCATGCCCTCTAGTCCCACCTACTTGGCAGGCTGAGGTAGGAGGATTGAGAGTTGCAGCCCAACATGAGCAACACAGTGAGACCCCATCTCCAAAAAATATATATATATATATTATATATACATATATATATAATCTTCAGCATTTGCCATGGAATTTTCTTTTTATTTTATTTGTTTATTTATTATTATTATTTTTAAAGACAGGGTTTCACCATGTTGGTCAGGCTGGTCTTGAACTCCCGAACTCAGGTGATCCGCTCACCTTGGCCTCCAAAGTGTTTGGATTACAGGTGTGAGCCACCATGCCCGGCCTTTTTATTTATTTATTTATTTATTTGGAATTTTCTTGTTTGATTATGCATGGGATTGATTAGACAGGTATTTCCAAAAAGGCTGCAAGCATAGTACTTAGACTCAGTGAAAGTTTATAGAATTTGGCATATGTAGAAAACTCCATGCTTCAAGTACAACAGCTAACTGATTTCTCTAACTTAAACAAGTTTGAAGGAAGTGAAAGGTTATAAAATGATACAGACTCATAACCACAGAATCACCTTAAAATGCAGCTGTTGGAGAAAAAAAAAAAAATAAGGAAACTTTATGCTATTACCACAAGAAAGTTTTGCATCTTTACCACACAGAATCCTAGTTTAGTTTGGGAAAAAGAAACATAACATCCCCATTTTACTTACCTATAAAATAAAAAGTAGTAAGTAGTTTAAGAAAACTGTGCTTTTCCTAAAGTTCTTGGACTCTTGTAAATATAATAGCAGAATCATGGAAACAAATTTGGAATGAAAATCTTAACCTCACTGAAATCCAGAAATCAATTAGCTTGGGACTTCCCAGTACATCAGAAAAGCTCTTTCTCTTTTTGTATCAGTCTCTCTGTGTTAGAGGGAGAAAAAAGTACCTGTTCCTTTCTACCTCATTTGATTTGGTGATCATGAATAACCCATGCCCAAGAAGTGTTCTGAGAACTTCAGAAGACATTCTTGTTTTATGTACTTGGTCAGGGAAAGCATCTATTTAAGCTTTGTTTTGGTCATATGTGCTAAGGGGAGGCTACCTAAAGGACTGGCTTGTTGAGCCAAAGATTAACCGTGTTGTTCTCCCTCTGTGAACAGAAGCCCCCAATGCATCCAACTTGAAAATTGTAAGAATGGACAGGACAGCTGGATGTGTGACTGGAGGAGAGGAAATTTATCTTCTCTGTGACAAAGTTCAGAAAGGTAAATACATTCTCTGATCTCTGGTCTCAAGTGGTGAATATAATTCTGAGTGTATCTGTGAGTCACACTTCATTGGTGGACAAGAAACGTCCCTCTGCTACCGTAGAAAGTCTTAAAAATCATTTACGTTTTACCTCTTCCAAATGTAAGTTGCCTGTGTTATTTTTTCCTAGTCAACTAATTCACTTTTAGATTTCCCACAGAAGTAAAAAGAAGAAAATAATGATAATTATTATAATCAGTGACTTTCAGTATCTTTATGCTTTAAAATTAATATCTGTACTTGGTTAAACTAAATAACAGCCCATTCTTGACATACATACAAAACACACAGAGAGAATAATGTTTTCATAGTATAAAATGGTTGATTTTATTTATTTTGCAATGCTTTTATGCAACACTAAGAGGATTTCTCTGAACACTTCTACAGATGTGATGTTAACTAAGAAAAGGAAAGAGAACAGAGAATACAGGGAAATTCTCAGAGTACATTACTCTCACCATTTTCACTTTGAGAAAAGGTTCTTGGCATTTATCTTTCATTAAATACGTTACAACATTGATTAGTAAAAGCTGAGGAAAATGTGTTATTTTCTCAAACTTCATTCTTTTATTAAGTAAAATGATAGTTGGAAAGTGTAGTATAATAAACATCTGTTTACTACAAGGTGAGCATTTTCAAAGTAAGCAAATACCTAACTGAAAATATAAATAAAATAAATCAATAAAAGACATGTGGCTTTTAAAAAAATTCTCATGTGAGGTTAAATGCTTTGAGGTATATAGTCAGAAAAAAATTGGATCAGATTTTAAAGTAAAGACATATATACTTTATCCAAAAAATTTACAGGCCAGCCATGGTAGCTCATGCCTGTAATCCCAGCACTTTGGGAGGCTGAGGTGGGAGGATTGCTTGAACCCAGGAGTTTGAGGCTGTAGTGAGCTACTGTCATGCCACTGCACTCCAACCTAGATGACAGAGCGAGACCCTGTCCCAAAAAAAAAAAAAAGTTTACACTTTCTTTGTGTACACTAGTGTTAGCCTTATTCCAATCCACTCTGTCCAGGTAATACTCATTTTCAGTTTCCTGGGTGTACATACTGTGAATAGACACAATCTGAGTACCTTTATTTGTAAATGAGATCCTTAGTTATTATCATTACATTGGAATGGCTTAGTAAGAAATGTCCTACTTGGCTTAAAGAACCTCAACAACTAGGTCCAGTGTAGTCCCACCTGAAGGAAATCGTAAGATGTTTTATCCATGCCTAGTATTTCTAAAATGCTACTTAAATAGCAATAAAAACTTTGTTTTATAAGTCAATAATGTGGTCCTTTCTATGAAATGGAAAGTGAAGCCAGGAAGATGCCAACCTAAGTTATACTGTCACATTTGTGTAGAAGTAAATAGAATCCACGACTAGAGTGTGAAATTTAAGCATTCCATTTTAATCAGAAGGGACCTGATTATCATAGTATTTTGACCAATTACTCAATATGAACTAAAAAACTATTGTAGGGAGACAGTTTAATAGTATGTTAAGAGCCTGGACTCTGAAATTATACTGTCTGTGTTCAAATCCTGGTTCCTCCATGTACTAACTGTTAAACCTCAGATAAGTACTTACCCTCTTTGGAGTTCAGTTTCTCTGTTGCAAAGTGAGGATAATAATAGCACACCTATACCACAAGGTTGTGGTGAGGATGAAATCAGCTAATATGTATATATATGAAGCACTTAGAATAGCATCTGCCATATATTAATAGTAAAACTTACATGTTAATTATTTTCATGTACATCTATATATTGAATTGCACCACCTCTTAAGATTCTAATATCCTTCCGCCATCCTTCATGTTTCTTAGGGTTGGCTTAAGGATGGAGAAGCGGTAAGGTCACAGATTAAGAGAAAATTCAGGTTGACTAGGTAAATCTAGCATTCTGTCACTGTGAATGAAACTCGGGGCACATTACAGTGGTAAGTAAAAAAAGATCAGTGATTTGTGAACATTTTAAAAGACTTAACCTTTGATCGTGTTTTTTAAAAGTTTAGATAGTTAGAATATTAAACCAGTTTTATTTTTCAGCATGTTTATAAGTATTATTACACTATGTGAAATTATGCACCTCAATGTAACTGTTTGCAGATGACATCCAGATTCGATTTTATGAAGAAGAGGAAAATGGTGGAGTCTGGGAAGGATTTGGAGATTTTTCCCCCACAGATGTTCATAGACAAGTAAGTGATTTATTATTAATAATCCTTATTATTTTTACAGATGGGAATTTCACTCTGTCACCCAGGCTGGAGTGTAGTGGTACAATCACAACTCACTGTATGCCCCAACTCTTGGGCTCTAGGGATCCCTTCTGCCTCAGCTTCCCAAGTGTCTGAGACTACAGGCATGTGCTACCACACCCAGCTAATTTTTTCTTTTCTTTTTATTTTTTATTTTGAGAGATGATGTCTTGCCATCTTGCCCAGGCTAGTCTTGAACTCCTAGGCTTAAGCAATTCTCCCACCTTGGCCTCCCCAAATGCTGGAATTATAGGCATGATCCATGTTATTATCATCATTTTACACTTTCTGCCTTGTTGAAATTTAGTACTTAGCTTCTATCTATAAAAAAGAAAAATCGTAAATATTCAACTTCCATAAAGCAGTACTATTTTTAAGACTCATGCAGGTCATCCAGAAAAGTTTCCTACTGTATAGTTATGGGCAAGTTAGATCACTGGCTCTGAGATGTTAGCAAGATATTTAATTAGCTGCCTAGTCCCCTAGCCCATAAGACAGTGGCCCACGGGTCCCTTAATGAAAATGTTTTAAGTGTTGTACCAAAGTAATTATGATGAGACCTGTTAAAAGGGTATTCCAGGAGCCATCTTCTAATTGAAGCTGATGTCATCCTGTTAAATGAAGATTTCCAAGTGGCAACTGATTAAATGACTAAGAGATGACAGTGCTGAGCCCCCAGCTTAATGATTATTCCATTTACAAGTAACTGAGGAGTATTTTGTTCACAAAGTTGGAAACAATCTAAATATTCATCAATAAGTGACCAGTTAAATTATGGTCTGTGTTTTTGATGAAATATCATGCAGTTATTCAAAAGAATGAATATTCTGTGAACTAGTACAGAAAGCTCTCAATTATACAATGTTAAAATATTTTAAAAGATGGATGTAGAACAAAGTGCGTGTAGAAATGATTCTATGTTCATATTTGCATGTGCATAAAGAAATTCTGGAATGATACCTATGAAATTAATAACAGTATTTACCACTGGCTGGTACACTGTATGAACTACATGGATGGGGAACAAGTCAAAGAGAATACCGTTTTATGCTTTTTGATATTTTACAAAATCTTTATCCCTGTGAATATGTTACATAGTCAAAAAATTAAACTGAAAAATGCTAAAATCCCTAACATATCACCAAGAATTAATGTGTTATGATGCCAATGTAAGCAACGTTTAATTTCTTCTCTTCATCACTGGCCTGTAGCCGTCTTTCAATACCCAGTCTTTCTAATATTGCTATAAATAATCTTGGCTTTTAAGGCTGTTTTAGAAGAGAAGGAAGTGTATGCAGTAAATTTTATAATCATGCTATTTACAACTAGAAGACATTTGAAATATAAGAAAAATGAAATAAAGATTCTCAGTACATTAGCACAGCACTGTATTTCGATTTTACAGTGGCAATTTCATAAAAACGTATGAGTATAGATTTCTGAGTTTGGAACTTTCTCCAGAACACTGTGTTTTTTTAGTACACTGTGTCTAAGCACGAGGTTAAAAGAAAAGCCTAAGGAATGAGTTTAATGAGTAGCATTAATGAAAAAAAAAAAATGTAGTCCTGCACCAACATTTGGTTCTTTTTATCCTGCAGTTTGCCATCGTCTTCAAAACCCCAAAGTATAAAGATGTTAATATTACAAAACCAGCTTCTGTGTTCGTCCAGCTTCGGAGGAAATCTGACTTGGAAACTAGTGAACCAAAGCCTTTCCTTTACTATCCTGAAATAAAAGGTAAGTCAGTTGTTTAAAATCTTATGCTTGTTTTGGTTTTATTTTTTGGTTTTTTTTGAGACAGAGTTTGACTCTGTTGCCCAGGCTGGAGTGCAGTGGTGCAATCGTGGCTCACTGCAACTTTGAACTCCTGGCCTCAAGCAATTCTCCTGCCTCAGCATCCCAAGTAGCTGGGACTACAGGTGTGCACCACCATGCCAGGCTTTTTTGTTTACTTTTAATAGAAATGAGGACCTGCTGCATCGTCCAGGCTGGCCTTAAACTCCTGGCCTTAAGCAATCCTCCGGCCTCGGCCTCCCAAAGTGCTGGGATTACAGGCTTGAGCAGTCATGTCTGGCCATTGTGCTTGTTCTGAGAAGACGACAAGTAATTAGAAAAGATCAGTTAGTCACCTCCTTTGAACACCTTCCTAGTAACAGGTCTCCTGGATCCATTGTATTTGTTTTTAGAAGAGACAGTAGTATGTTATTTTGAGGTCATGGAATTAGTCCAGCTTTTTAAAATAATGTTATTTCCACCAAGCTTATATGAGATTTCGACATTGAGAATTTGTCTTTTAATTTGAGAATCTAACATTTATTGACTAACTCAGAGTTCAGGCAGCTGAGATGAAAACATCAGCCTTACTATTTAGGAGAATCAGCCACTTAGTCAACCAGCCTCAGGCGGTAGAACAGAAAACTTGGCCAACATCCACTGCAAAATTATGAAAATGACTAAGGCATCATTCTTTCGCTCACAAAAAATGCTTTAAGAAAGGACAATCATCGTTTCCTTAAATAGTTGTAACGTAAATTATGATTTTAATAAGTACAAAAAGTGAACCATCCATGAACACATGAGAATAATGAAGAGAAAGCCGTTGGTCCCTTTATCCTAAAGAAGCCTCGGAAAAGAAGGCTTCATCAAGGAGATGTCATTTGGCCCTTAACATTTGGGGTATATTTCACCAGCTGGTTATTAAACAGAGAAGGAAAGGATTCTCTAGGCTTAGGTTACTTGAGGAGCTCAAAGACAGCAATAAACACAGTGAGTGTTTATGCAAAGGGAAACAAGCATTCTGAGGGCTCAGATGGACATGAAGGCCAATGTAGGTAAGGAAGTCCAGGACCAGGCTAAAGAGGGCTGTGGGTGGCCACTTAAGTCTAGAGAGGGATAGCCAGGCCTGCCTAGGTTTGGAATGATGGCTCTGACTTTTTTATGTCACCACTGAGGGTACCATCTAGGAGGCAGATGATGAGTCAGAAGAGTAATGCAAGAATCCAAGTGAGAAACAGTGAGGTTAATAAAGATCTTAGGAATGAAAGGAGATGGACTCAGAGAGCACAGTGATATTGTCACCAGGGCCTAGAGGTCAGAGGTGTAGGAGAGATGGGGAGTCATAGATGGTGCTAAGACTCCCTGACTAGGAAGCTTGTGATGTGGTTTACTTGATGAAACAAACAAGGAAGCAAAAGTAGATTTGGGTGGGAAAAGAGAGAGCTCAGAGTAAATCATGTTATATTTTAAGTCCTCATGGGAAGGTCAAGTATAAGTTCTTAGTAGCCAGATCAAAAGGCAGAACTGGAACTCAAGAGAGGACAGGGTGAGTAATTCAGCATTAGAATCATCTCAAAATGAGATATAATGGGCACCAACTGAGTCATCATTCAAAAGTATTTCTTAACCTAGGGTCCACTGACCCCCAAAGAATCTGTGGATAGAAATGTGCTTTAATATCATCAGCTTGTTTTGTAATCCTGTTTTGTATTTTATATACTGAAAACTATGATTCTGAGAAGAGATCCATAGAGTTCACCAGACTGCAGAAGGGGATGTGGCACAAACAAAATTAGAAACCCCTCAGTTGGAGGGAAGTGAGACTGGGAAGGGAGGTCAGTAAAATGATTGCCATGGGGCACCCAGATCTTTGCTGAGGTTGGAAACCACAAAGGTGCAGCAGCAACAAGCCACATGGATGGGTGTTGGCTCCTGTGAGAGCAAGATATGATGGGTGATGTTTGAAGAGGGCTTTCCTTTCCTAGAATTCGTGCTGCCACAAGAGTGTTTAGAAAACGGTTCTGCAAGTTCTTGTTTCTTTTCTGAGGTTGTGGCCTCTCCATTGTTGGGTCAGATTTGTAGTGCATTCTGTACCCTGATGGTTTGAAAACACTGTCAGCACAATAACTTCTCTTTCTTCACATGAGATTTCATACAAAATCCCAGTGTATGGACATGGTAAGCTTTGGTTAAACTGGGGGTTAAGGGCCCTGCCAACTTGGCCTTCCCAGAGGCTGCCCCACTTCTCCTTGCATCCCTACCAGGATCTGTCGGAGGTCTTTTCAATGCTTCTGCCTACACAAAATGATGTGAAAATCACTGCTTTAATTTAAACACCCTTCTTTACAAGTAGCCACAGAAGAAAAATACGGATTTTTTTTTAGACTTTCTGAGAAAAAGCTAAATTTCTTCTCCAGAAATATGTCTTCAACTAATGTCGGTTTTTGCTAACACAGAGAATCATGAAGAAAGAAAACCCAGGTTACCTGTATGTGTATGAACCTAGAAACATTCAAAGCTGAGCTTGGTGTCTAGGCTGCCTGTCTCCCTTTCCCAGTGGTATCTATGCCTCAGTAAAGTATGTTATAGCAGGGGCATGTTCAGGTGATTACTTTTAATGATACCTTATCATAGTAGGAACTATCTGATGCTAGGATTAGAGAATTAGATCACCTGAAAGTTTAAAATTGCACCTAAGTGCTTCACACACATACCTTCCAGGCTCTCATTGATTAAAAGCTTCATACAATACAAAGTAAAAAATTATCTGGAGAAATAGTTACCCATTGAGCTCTGAAGGAAAGAATGGACAACATACATGTATGAGGACACAAATTACTTTATTCTATAGAAACCTTCTATATTATACAAACTCAAGATAATAGGACCAAGGAGAAATAATCTGGCCAGGCAGTGTAACTGATCAGAAAAGTAGTAGGCCATTTAGCATTAGTGTAAGTAGATGGAAATGGGTCCAAACTCTACAACCCAGGGAAACATTACATACGTTTCTCAGAAGTCACTGAACACACTTTCCCCTACCCCCAGTCTCTGTAGTCATTCCCTATCTCATTGCCTAATTTTATATTCTTCATTATTTTTTATCAGTATGTAAGCTTGTCTTATCTATTTATTTATGGGTCTATTGTCTTTCTACCACCCCTAGTACAAAGAATCTTTTTTAGGCCATAGACCATCAACAGGATAGGTTCCATAGAAAATGCTCATTAAATATCTGTGGAATGACTTATTGATTGACCAGCCAAGCTGCCATCCTCATCTATAAGGCTAGTAATATGTTGGGTATCATCAGGTAAGACATTAGACATAGATATAAAACATTATACAGAACCAGCTCTGAGTTCTGCACCCTCTATGGTCATTGGCATGGTACTTCACAAAAACTTCTTGGAGATGGTTGGGTCCAGGGGAAACAATTGAAATAAGAGAAGGATGCTTGGCAGTGGAGGAAGATAGTTGAGAAACTGCAGTACAAAAGCAAATGGGGGACCATTATGATTTTTCAGTCTGAAAGATGGAGATTAGGGATAAATAGAATCATAATCTTTACATTATGAAATTCATGGCCAAGATAAATGCAGGCATCTTTACCGGTAAACTAAAACCCGAAAAATGAGAATGAGGTACTTTTAAGTCACATGCACAAGAATAGGTAGCAAACACTAGAAGATTATCCATATTTGTGAATTAAACTGTTATGTAAGTCATCAACTATTATGTAAAGTCATTGGTTATTATTATACAAAGCTACTTAGGAGTGTTTTCAAAAGAATGACAGCCTAACATAATGAAAACATCACTACACTTTGAGACTGATCGTTACTCTGTCCTGACCTCAGATAAGTCACCTAACCCTCCTTCTAGCTTCAGTTTCCTCTCCTGCAAAAGGAGAACTTGTACTGAGTGGCCATTTCAGCTCCTCTAAAATAGGTTGATGTTTCATAGTACATTCCATGGTGCCATTGTCAGCAAGGATAAATGATCCCTTGAATATAGAGTGTGAAAGTCTCCATATTTCAATTCTGTGGAGATTCAGACAGCAGGTTCTTTTATAAAGCTTATGTGGAATGTTCTGTATCAGTTTCTTGTCATTGGAATCTTACTGGCTGTGTTAGAATATTTTGCCCTTAAAATTCCCATTTTACAGTGAACTATAGCCAATAAATCAATCTCTGCTTTAAAACGTAAAAGCAATGTATAGAAAATACCAACTAGTCTCTTTGTTAGAATTCATGTCAATAGATAACATTTATTTCTGAAGATAAGTAATATGTCTGCTTTCTTCGTGTGTTTCATATGTCTGCAGTGAACAGTAATGAGTATAGCTGTAAATTAGTTATGATATAACAAATCTGAATCTAAAAAAATATTTGATAAAGGAAATCTTTAAAGTTTCTTCACTGTAGGGTCGTCCCCTTCTAGTGGAAGCACGTTTTTCTCAAAATTTGGCAACGTTGGCTTTTTTTTCCTAGGAAGTCTGGACACGCTCAGCTTTCAAATAATTATTAAAGTGTTCTTTGTTACCCTAGTTTCCCCTGCTTTGTATTTCAACTGCAATTAGATGATCATGAGATAATCAATAAGCATCGAGCTTCTGTCTAGCCCTAAGATGACTGAAACAACCAGAGAATTAGAAATAATTGAAGATCTTTCTGAATGTAAGCATGACAAAACTGACACTGAAGAACCAGAAATAAGACAACTGTTAAGGGTTCAGCTGATCAAAACAGATACCTCATTGACTTTATTATTTTGAAAAAAAAAATAAAAATTAAAATAAAAAAATAAAATAAAACTTCCTTAACTACTTCAGCCCAAAATAGAGAAGAAAGAAAAAATATATGGTAGAAAAATCACAAAAGAGAAAGGAAAACAAAAAGGAGAAACAAGAACATAGTAACACCACATAGGCAGTGATGGAACTCAAAGGGTGTTGTGGC